AGTCCCACTTCCTGCCATGGGCAGGGACACCTTCCAGTAGCCCAGGTTGCTCCAAGCCCCGTCCAGCCTGGCCTTGGACACTTCCAGGGATCCAGGGGCAGCCACAGCTTCTCTGGCCAACCTGTGCCAGGGCCTGCCCACCCTCCCAGCCAACAATTCCTTTCCAAAATCTAATCTAAATCTCTCCTCTTTTAATTTCAAACCATTCCCCCTTGTCCTATCTCTATCTGACCACGTAAAAAGCTGCTCTGCCACATTTTTATAACCCCTTTTAAGCACTGAAAGGCTGCAGTGAGGTCTCTCCTGAGCCTCCTCTTCTCCAAGCTGAACAACCCCAGGAGCATAAACAACCTCGAGGCTCAGGTGTCGATGGCAGATGTGGAGCCTCCTGACTTGTTTCCATACCTGGTACCCCCAGGAGGAAGGAAGATGGCAAATCTGCTTTGTATCCCAGCTCATCCTGTGCAGCGGGTCCTGATTAAAAAGAAAAATCCATCTGTCACTTGGGATGTGCAGAGTCCATCCTGAAGCACCGGCACAAGAGCTGAGCTACAGAGCTTGGTTTTGTTTCGCCCAAGAACTCCCAGAAGGTGATCTGGCTGCAGTGTCCGAGCTCTGTGAATGTATCACTGGGAAAATCTCACCATTTCCCCCCTTCCTTGGCTGCTGCTGGTGCTCTGGCATGGCTCCCACTGCTCAGCTGGATGAGCATTCCCATCCTCAGGCCCCACACCTCAACCCCCTCCCCATCTCCATCCCCCAGCCCCATCCCTACAGCCCATCCCCACACTCCACCCTCATTCTCATCCAGAGACCCATCCCACACCCCATCCCCATTCCCATCCTCATCCCCAGTCCCACTCCCACACCCTATTCCCATCCTCACACCCCATTTCCATTCCCACCTCTATCCCAGTCCCCATTCTCATCCCCACCCCCATTCCCATTCCAAGCCCCCATCCCCATTCTCATCCCCACCCCTAGTCCCATTCTCCCACCTCATCCCCACATTCCGTCCCTAACCCCACCCCAATCCCATCCCCATCTGCATCCCAATCCCCATTTCCATCCCCACACCCCATCCCCAGCTGCAGCCCCATTCCCCCACCCCATCCCCAGACTCACCCT